TAGCGTAAACTCGCAAATAAACTAGAAAATAGTGATTTCATCGATAAATTCAATAAAGTTTAATAATTACTACTGCGTTCCGATATTCACTGCCAGTACTGAAAATCTATAGTTTGTGTCGTGTATACGTATAGAGTTTCAACATTGACGGTGAATATTGGAACGCAGTCTGCGAATTCACATTAGAGGAAAAGATACATTACTACATGAAGAAAATTTTATAATAAAGTGTGTTACAAATTTAGAAATTCAGTCAAACTATATTCTATTACTTTAATTGCCAGAAAAGTTGATAAAACCATATACTTTACAAGAATTAATAGAATATAATTTTACAAGTTGAAAAAATAGTAAAAAGTATGTATTTATTTTGGAGAAAACTTAATATAATTGAGAAAAATGAGATAATAATAACAAAAAATATTTTTATTTTAAAATTATAGTAATTTAAAACTGCTAATAACAAAACGTTTAAAATCACAAATTTAAAAATTAAAGGTATATCTACGTCAAAGATACGTATAGGCACAGATATACATAAAATTGTTAGTGCAATTTTTCACAATGGTGAAAGTATAACTAATGGACATTATATAAACGCTGTGCGTAGTAAACATACAAAATGAATTTTAATTAAAGATTCCACAATAAAAAAATGCAGTTGCACGAAATTCCAAAGATGCATACAATTTCTTTGCTGTAAAAGTAATATAATAAGATTTGTACCTAATTATACAAAAAGCAGTGAGATCGTAACAAACAGTCTTTACAAAAGAAAAAAAAAACGTCGAGTACGTATCAAAACAAAAATTACAAAACGAAAAGTACATGTTAATTTAATCAAAGTGTAGATATTTTAAATTAATTATAATAAAAAAAAAAATAAGATCAATATAATAAACCAAGTACGTATATTTAAGTACTTGTTACATAAAAAATTATGTGATTAGTATCAATAATATTAATAATTGAACGCTGAAATATCCAAGTATCAAATTGAGAAAAACTTAATATCGAGGATCAAAAACTCGGCGTGCCCCAGTTAATAAATTCATAAATAAACTTATAAATATATTCATACAGAAAAGTTATTCCTATATACGGCGATACATAGTCTTGAATTCATGAAACATTAATATAGATTTCCCCATAGTATATATACAAATTTTTTTAAATAATATACATAAAATTAATAGTAGCATTATATATATTTATATTGAAGAATGATGTATTGGGAGTACAAATAAGTCTCCGCCGTTTTTTATCAAAAATTGGACATTTATTGTGAAAGAACAGTACCTTATGTTTTATTCAAAGTATTGTCCATCGTTAGTCACTACTTTTTCCCATATTTCTGGTAGCATACGGATACCGCGTCGGAAGAACGTTTCATCTTTTGAGGCTATCCACGAATCGATCCAATTTTTGGTATCTTCATATGATGTGAAGTGCTGTTCAGACAGGCCGTGCGTCATCGATCGAAACAAGTGATAGTCAGAGGGAGCAATGTCTGGTGAATACGGTGGGTGGGGTAAAACTTCCCAATTGAGTGTTTCCAAGTAGGTTTTGAGCGGCGCCGCAACATGTGGACGAGCATTATCATGTAGGAGAATAATTTTGTCGTGTCTGGAGTAGTAGTGGGCGCGTTTTTTCTTGAGTGCTCGGCTTAATCTCATCAATTGTGTTCGGTAGAGAGCCCCAGTAATGGTTTCGTTCGGTTTGAGCAACTCATAATACACGACACCAAGCTGATCCCACCAAATACACAACATGAGTTTTTTCCATGAATATTCGGCTTGGCTATCGATGTTGAAGCATGGCCACGTGGTCCCCATGATTTCCTCTTCTTTGGGTTATCGTAGTGGATCCATTTTTCATCATCAGTGACTATAGGATGCCCTTTCGTTTATGCCTGGCAAGCAGCATTTCACATGTGCAAAATCGACGTTCAATGTTTCTCGGCTTTAGTTCATATGAAACCCAATTTCCTTGCTTTTGAATCATTCTCAACGATTTTAAACGATGTGAAATTGCTTGTTGAGTTACTCCTAATGTAAGTGCAAGTTCTTTTTGCGTTTGGCACGAATTTTTCTCCAATAATGCTTCTAATTCCGCGTCTTCGTACACTTTCGGCCTTCCGCTACGTTCTTTGTCTTCGACGTCAAACTCACCGTTCTTAAACTTTTGAAACCACTCACGACAACTTCTCTCACTTAAAGTAGCCTCACTATATGCTTCTACAAGCAATTGATGCGCTTCAGCTGCAGATTTCTTCAAATTAAAGAAGTAAATCAAAAGTTCCCGCAAATGACGCTTATTCGGCTCAAAACTCGACATTTTCGCATGAAAAAAATTATGTGATGCTGATACAAAATCGCTAATATTTCAAGGTTATGGTGTTGCCAGATGTCCAATCTTACGATATGACGTTTTACATCTGACAATTTCAACCATAACTGGTGGGGCCATCTTTTGTCAAACGGCGGAGACTTATTTGTACTCCCAATATTAATTGGGGCACGCCGAGTTTTTGATCCGTGATGTTAAGTTTTTCTCAATTTGATACTTGGATATTTCAGCGTTCAATTATTAGTATTATTAATCATTAATATTATTAATCACATAATTTTTTGTGTAACATATATATAGAGTGTCTCATAACTGGTAGAACACCCGTTAGGGGTAGGTAGGGGGTGCAATTTGGAACTGAAAGTTCCTTTTACATTTTTGGATCCGAGAATTAATTAATGAGATATTAATTAATTAAGTTTGCCAATCCCTTAGCGCCCTGAGTGAGCGCTCAGCGACGTAGGACGCCGTGGCCCTGCTTGTCTGTTTTTTTCCCCTTTTTGTGCACACACACTAAAATTATTCACGATACTCAATCACCGACATACAGAAAACATTCAAGTCATCCGCGCACTCGAAGGAAGCATATCATATATGTCTTCCCCCTCCGGCATATAAAGTGCAAGCACTTCGCCCACTCGCACCAAAAACATTAAAATTATCCATGCACTCATAACCGCATACAAAAACACTCATGTATGATCCACACATTGAAAACTTGCCACCTTTCTAGCCCCGGTCCACCTTTCTAGGCTTTCTAGGCTCCCATCCACCTACTCACTCACTCATCTATATTTATTTCTCTGCAATACAAAAAAGGAAGAAAAAGAGACAAGTAAAACCTCTGAGGAGTCCACGACGTCCCACGGCCCTGAGCACTTACTCGGGGCGCTAAGGGATTGGCAGAATTAATTACTTAATATCTCAGTAACTAATTATTGGATCCAAAAATGCAAGAGGAATTTTCAGTTCCAAATTTCATCCTTTACCTACCCTTAACAGATGTTTTACCAGTTGTGGGACACTCTGTATACTCTCACCCGAAAAAAGCGGTATACTAAAAATGTGGAAAAAAATCGACCTTCAAACGGATAACTTCATCAATAATGAAGATAGATAGATCTATAAAAAATTAAAATAAAGCTTTGAATCTCTACTTTAAGAATCGATTCATGTCAATAATGCGTAATAAATTTATTGAATATGGCGAATCACAAAGCGAGAGCATGCGAAATTGAAAAATAATAGTCCGAGTTTGCGACAGTGCACAGTGTAAACAAAAAATTGCAGCTCATTAGGAGGAAAGATATACGAAAATACAGAGTATCCTCTTTAAAATGCTTTTTTATTCATCTCGATACGATGATTTTTCGCAAAGTTGTTCGCATTTGAAGTAAAAAGCGTTCTTATTTTTCAAATGCGAATATCTGCGAAAAATCATTGTATCGAGGTGTATGTGTGTGTGTGTGTGTGTGTGCGCGCGCGTGTGCCTGTGTGTGTGTGTGCGTGTGTGCGTGTACGCGCGCGCGCGCGCGTGCATGTGTGTGTGTACAGGGTGTCCCATTTTATATATATGTATACAGGATGTCCCGCGTAAGACGTGCCAAAAGAAAAATATAAGTAGAAAAGATAAAAGTGAACAAAAATTGTAGAGGTCATTTTTCAAACAACTATATACAATTTCGAGATATTAATAAAAATAGTTGGACAAATTAGAGCGCGCGACGCGACAGGCGGGACGTACGGCTCGTCGCGGCCGGCGAAGAAAATGGACGAGCGCACGTACACGTATGCATACACGGAGCTATCCATTTCTATGTGCCAAACGGCCTATAAGATAGGCCCGCGAGCAATCGTTCATTTTTTTCGCCGGCCGCGGCGATCTGTATGTCCCGCCTGCCGCGTCGCCGTATTTTGATATGTCCAAATATTTTAATTAATATCTCGAATTACGTGGTTGTTTGAAAAATGATCTTTACAATTTTTGTTCACTTTTCACTTTTTGTACATTTTTTCTACTTATATTTTTCTTTTGCCACGTCTTGCCACGGGACATCCTGTATATATATGTGTGTATACACGTGTGTGTATATATACTGCGACGTGATTCGCGAAAGATTCAGATCGTGAAGGCGAACAGTTGCCTGTCCGCCGCGTCGACAAATTACCGCCTGTCCCAGATCACCACTGCGACGAAAACGAACGAGTAGGCGTCAGGTGCGGAAAAGGCCGCACCACGTCGGGACACCATGACCGTCCCACGTCATCCTCGGATTCCTCTCGTTTTGGTGGCTGGCAGAAGCCGAGGGGGCACAAACTCTGGGATGCGATGACCTACGTATCTGCTTCGCTTGCTTGCAATGATTTTCAGAAATTTGTCCTAAGGACTCACACGAAAAACGAAAGCTATTCCGAGACGCGATAATCGAAAGTGGTCACGAAATCAGTGCGCTTCTTATTGGGACGGGCGTCTCCGAGGCTGCCACGTCACAATACACACAGCAAATAAAATCCTAGAAAATACAAATTATAGATAATATAACACTGTAAATGCTTTTATGCGTTTGAAATGTTTAGCAAACTTCCAATAAATATTATATTAAATATCTTTCTGCATACGTATTAATGTGTTTCATTTCATTTTTGTTCAGGAATTTTCACAGTTGACGAAAGAATTGGCGGCAGCGCGAGAAAACATCTTAGAAAGGGAAGAAGAAATCTCGGAGTTGAAAGCTGAAAGAAACAATACACGCGTGCGTAATTGAATTTGTTTAACATTTTAATTATTATATTCGTAATTGGCATCAGTTTATGATTGATACAATATGGTTCGTTGTTAATGCTTGCAGCTCCTACTAGAACATTTGGAATGTTTAGTATCACGACACGAGCGATCGCTCAGAATGACGGTTGTGAAACGTCAAGCCGCTGCACAATCCGGCGTATCGTCCGAGGTGGAAGTACTTAAAGCTCTAAAAAGTCTCTTCGAACATCACAAGGCTTTGGACGAGAAGGTATTTATATTGCTTTATTTGATTTCTCTGCACTACAATATCAGTTTTCCGTGAAAAGAATTATTTTACAATATTTTATAATAAAAGTAACTTCTTATAATCATCGATGAAGTTAATGATTCTACAAAGTTTTAGGAGAATTTATAAAACTATCATAAAAAAGAGAGTATCGGAGTTGAAAACCTTATCAACAGAACTATTTTTTTGTTACCTTTACTTTATATTAGTTAGCAAGTATAATTACTTTGTATCAGGAGCAAAATTATAACTATTACTTAATAGGAAAACTTATATGATTTATGCAGGACATCTGACTATAAGTTAGATTAGAGTTCGGTAAGCGATACACTTTTCGATCGATTTTCACAAGGCTCCATCTTGCGTTATCTCCTTTGCTTTGTCGCCCTGTGCGAAGTTTACGAGTTGCTCGAGTGTTAGAAGTGCGTCTCCGCATGTAACGTTATGGAGCTCGTAGAAAGGAGAACAATAAAATAACTTTTGGATCTTGTTTTAAAAATAAAATATATTTAATGAAATTGTTATATTTTAATTGTGAATATTTATTTTCAATAGCTGTTCACATTACACATGAGATATGATTGCTGATATGTTTTTCTTTAACCTTTTGAGTCACAGTGTGACATATATGTCATCCCTTTTATCTATTTTTTAAAATTATATTATGTAGTATTTATCAGTATAACATTGAACTTTTTTTTATTTTCGACTACCTGAAAGTTTAATCTTGATTCACAAATAGTTATTTAATATGATTACAAAAAAAAATATATATTTTAACATTGAACTTTTTTTTATTTTCGACTACCTGAAGATTCAATCTTGATTTACCAATAATCATTTATTAAATATTGTTAAAAAAAAAATATATATATTTCAACAATATTACATAAATGACTATTGGTGAATCAAGATTAAACCTTCAGATAGCTGAAAATAAAAAAAAGTTCAACACACACACACACACACACACACACACACACACACACACACACGCACGCACAGTTACATACATGGTGGGCCATTTTATTGAATACACGCAAAAATCTGAAAAAGGAGAAATTTTTTCAAAAAATGTTTCAGACAAAAATTGTCGGGTTCAGAGGGGGACATCTGAAGGTGACCTTGATTTTGACCTTGGAGCTCATTTTGAAGGTTATTCGAAAGTCAACTTTGCATTTTAAATAGAAACATTAATTTTTTTCTTACGGAATTTTGTTCTTCGTGAAGAAACTAACAACTTTTGTTTGAACAAATTTTTCGTACGACCTCCATTTTTTAAGACATTTACGGAAATATCTACAAAATTATTGGTTTTAATAATTTTTTTCTCGAATTCTACCAACTGTACCTAAAAATGGTAAGAGATAAAAATTGTTTATTTTCTTCTCATAAAGCTTCGGGAATTTTTTCAGAATTTTTTAGTTAACTTAGTACTGCATTTTCTTGAAGTACTAAAAAGTTTATAAAAAATTCTGAAAAATTCCTGGAGCTCTATGAGAAGAAAATAAACAATTTTTATCTTTTACCATTTTTCGGTAAAGTTGGTAGAATTCCATAGAAAGAGGAGGGCGTACTAGGTGGCGACGAGACGCCGTGCGTTCGAGATCTGCGTTTCTTTTCGTTCCAGAGAGAGAAAAATATCCAGAGCACGGTTTTGCTAGGCCGGGACTCGAGCCCGGGTCTTTCGCTTGCCGGGCGACTACTCTAAACTACTGAGCTACCTGACGCTCCACACTCACGACACTCTCCCCTCCCTAGATAACGCTCAGTGATGCCGTTCGGAAGCGACATCTCTTGCGCAATCCCGAGGCGCACGGCGACTACAGAGAGAAACAATGTACTATATCAAATAGTTCAGCTGTCAGTCTTTCAAAGTCAAAGGTTGTTATCCTTTAAGATCTGCTGTCCATGTCTCCTGTGCTCGTCTCTACCTTTGCCCCTCTTCATTCGGTAAGAAATTATTAAAACCAATAATTTTGTAGATATTTCCGTAAATATCTGAGAAAATGGAAGTCGTACGAAAAATTCGTTCAAACAAAAGTTGTTAGTTTCTTCACGAAGAATAAAATTCCGTAAGAAAAAAATTAATGTTTTTATTTAAAATGCAAAGTTGACTTTTGAATAACCAGAATGAGCTCCGAGGTCAAAGTCAAAGTCACCTTCTGATGTCCCCCTCTGAACCCGACAACTTTTGTCTGAAACATTTTTTGAAAAAATTTCTCCTTTTTGAGATTTTTGCGTGTATTGAATAAAATGGCCCACCCTGTGTATATATATATATATATATATATATATATATATATATATATATATATATCCTCAAACCTCCGCCGAAAGTAGTTTTTATCTCTTAATGATATCATTTTATTTGTTCAATAGTTTATTAGAGCTGCTATATGTTTATTATGCTAATATGTTTATTATTTATCTTTACACGATGTTTTCACGCTTTCAATTAACTAAGGATTTTTCCTAAAGATTTCTTTTTCCAAGGTACCTGCTAATGGTGACGGCGGTAACAAACAAATGTTGAAGGAAAAGATTCTATTAAAGAATATTATTGTAATATTAGGTGAAGTAAAAAGTTCTGAGCGGTTTTTCGCTTTATTTCGACGATGAAATTAACATAGTTAGGATTATCCGATTTCGATCAAATATGCGCCGTTTTGTTCGATAACTTTTGTCCATTTTGAAGGCAATTTCATAATTCCGCGATTGAAGAAGAGTCCTCGTCCTTATTGGTAAAAAACTTGACCAGCTCATTTTCACAAGCCTCTCTTGAGGCCAGTTTTGTACCATCAAGAAAATTTTGCAAATGCTTGAAAAGGTGATAATCGCTTGGTGCCAAGTCTGGACTATACGGCGGGTGCAATAGAACCTCCCATCCAAGCTCTCGGAGCTTCTGGCGCGTCGTTAATGATGTGTGCGGCCTGGCGTTGTCTTGATGGAACACAACACTCTTCCTATTGGCCAATTCTGGCCGCTTCTGGTCGATCGCCTGCTTCAATCTGGTCAGTTGTTGACAGTAGAGGTCCGAATTGAGTGTTTGGCCCGATGGGAGCAGCTCATAGTGGATGATTCCTTTCCAATCCCACCAAACACACAGCAAAACCTTCTTGGCCGTTAATCCGGGCTTGGCGATCGTTTGGGCCGGCTCACCGCGATTGGACCACGACCTTTTCCGGCTGTTATTCTCGTATGTGACCCATTTTTCATCACCAGTCACCATCCGCTTGAAAAATGAGTCGATTTCGTTACGTTTCAGCAAAGAATGGCAGCCATCAATTCGGTCCAAAAGGTTCTTTTGCGTCAATTCGTGTGGCACCCATACATCGAGCTTCTTCTTGAGACCAGCCTTATGCAAATGGTTCCAAACGGTTTTCTGGCTAATCTTCAGTTCCTGGGCAATGGAATAAGTGCTCACATGCCGGTCCGACTCGACGATTTCCATGATTTTATCGACATTTTCGACGATTGGCCTACCAGAGCGTGCCTCATCTTCGACGTCCATATTACCAGAACGGAATCGTTGGAACCACCGCTTTGCTGTTGCATTCGATACTGTATTGGGTCCATAAACAGCACAAATTTTTTTGGCCGCCTGCTCCGCCTTTTCACCTTGGTCGTAGTGGTACTGAAGAATGTATCGAATTTTCTCTTTTTTTACCTCCATTTTGGAACGCTGTAACACACAACTGGCTTGACCAAACACAAAACTGTCAGAACTTTTTTTGAAGCGTAATGTCACCTTTAAATCTCCGTATAGTATGACCCGATGCGATGTATGCATCGTGAGATATAGCTCACTAAACACATCTAGCGGAAAACGCTCAGAACTTTTTACTTCACCTAATATATGTACATGTAAGAATAGTGCTCGTACTGTAGGCTGCTGTGCCTATATTATGTCAATAATTTGATATCTACGATATGCTAAATATCTTTCTAATGATATATGGATACCTTCTGAGCAATGATATATTTGTTATGTTAGACAGCTTTGATAATGAGTCATTAAATGAATAAAATAATATCATTAGGAGGTGAGAACTACTTTCGGCCGAGGTTTGAGGATGTAAAACTATTTTTTCTTAAATACTACCATTATTATCTACAAAATTATATATGATTGATGATTGGACGCGGATGGCTCAAAATGGGCGAACGCATTCATGCAGATAGAGGAAATTTTCAATAATTTTAGAAAATTCCATCACCATATTGGATCTATCATTTTAAATTTTACAAATCTGATAACGGATTTGACTTTAGCGACTCCAAAAACTTATTGTGCTATATATGATATGAAAATCTATTTACCCCTTTAATTGTATGACTTAAAGGATTAAGTGGTATCTCCAGTAGGCTTAATTCACTGATAATTGAAAGAACTGATTGGGCGGAAGCAAAATGAAAAATATACAGAAGTATATACGATAGTATAATACGAAAGAATATAATACGAAAGCATATAAAACAATAAGTAAAATTTAATTTGAATTCCGAAATCTTCTAGAGGTGAGATATGAAATATCGATCTGTATGTTAGAAGTAGCGACTCGCATAAGATGTGATAAACTTTACAGGTCGATGTTTCATCTCTCATCTCTAAAAGATTCCGGAAATCGAATTAAATGTGACTCATTATTCTTTTGTACACGCACCGGCGTTAATGCCGTCCGAATATCCGTGTGACTCGCACACGATAACGCGTCACTCATACACTGCTGCGTGTAGGTGAGCTAAGAGCAGCACGGAGTGGCGGAGGGAGCTAGCGGTATACGATCGTCGGACGCTTGGAGAGGGAATAGTGGTGGGAGTCGCGGCGATCTTCCATCCTCTATCGCAAACGTAAGAACGAGAGAAATAGCATTATAAGACGTCTGGACAGAAATGCCGTCCTAAAATACGTGTGAAACACACGAAGAAAACGCTTGACTCACACTGTCTCGTCTATACGTGAGCAATACGCGGTGTCC